ACGTTAAGACCAAGGCGGGGGGACCAGAGTGAACGCGACCATCCTCGAAGATCCCAACGGCAGAACAGGTAACGAACGACACAATCTCAACACCCAAATCGGCGGAAGAGGGCAGCGCCATTCGGGCTGGCGTAACCCAGCGGGCCATGACAAACCAAAGATCGGACAGTCCGATGCAACCAGGTTTACCAGATATCGCCTGTCTCAATTCACTTTGAGCCAAGGTGCTTCTGGCCAAGTGCGTTTGCTTCTCCGTCGAGCAGAGTTGTCCACCCAAATAAAATTGACGCGAATGGCCTCGTCAAACTCTCTTTGATTCACAGTCATCCCCGCGACCACCAGGGGAGATAAAAGAGGAGGGAGAGGGGATGATGATCCCGATGCTCGGATACGAGCGGGGGCAGACGATGCGTTGTTATCACATGACTTACTCTGTGTTCTGCCGCTATAGATTTAGATTTCAGATAAATAAAATGAAATAAGGATAATGACACCTTAAAACAATAAGCTGATTAATGCACTTAATTTTCTTTTCTTTGTCTTTTTTTTCAGTCACCCCTCTGATGATGACTCATGTGAGTTGAAAGGTTGGACACAATATGCATTTTGGTTATTTTACATCAACAGCTGCAAAACGTTATTCGCATACGAGAAAAAAAAATCAATAAATTTAATAGACCTAGAATCTTTATTCTTCTTAATAAGACATGTCTAAAAACATAACTGTTGTCAAAATATACTGCATATATATATATATATATATATATATATATATATATATATATATATATATATATATAAGCAAATATATGGATATAGATCCGACAGTATGAAGAAAATATACTGAAAAACAAACAAAAATCCTAATATGCGATTATGTTGTTTTAATGTTTAAACGGAACGCTGATCTTATAAAAGATTTCTGTTTGGATTGGTATTGCTTTTATGTCCATCGTCTTTTTCCTGTTGAATTGTATATGGTCTATGTTAATTATGTTTTATGAATATATCCTGAAGATGGTCTATTAGACCGAAACGTCCGACGTTGACATTAAACATTAAAACAGCATAATCGCATATTAGGATTTTTGTTTGTTTTATCAGTATATTTTTTTCATATATATATATATATATATATATATATATATATATATATATATATATATATATATATATATATATATATATATATGTGTGTGTGTGTCTGTGTGTGTGTATGTATATATGATATCTTAAGGTGCCCTACAGTTTCATTTTTAGAAAATTATTTAGAGTACTTTTTAATTAAGCCATTCTTTTTAGCAAATATTTTTTGTCAAAAGTTGAATTTTTTAAAGTATATATATATATACTTTACGGTAGAGTAATGGATAGCGGCTCGGATTGAGGAATCGGAGAGCCGAGTTCGAATTCCAGCCGAATCCATTACATTCATTTACGTGCTAATACCCTTCTTCTCCAGGCAGCTTTGTGTTCTATAGCCTTGGATGGCAGCTGGTCTACCACAGAAAGAAATGGCAACCTACTGCAAAGGAAAAAATCTGCCGCGTCATTCATATATCGAAAGATACATGATCGCACATAACTGACTGATATATATATATATATATACATATACACACACACCCAGCACATATGATTTGATTATAGTGGTGAAGGCTTTGTGTAGAACCAACCACATTTTTTGAAAGGCTAAATACAGAGACCTGGTGCACATTAAGAGTTGTTCTTCTAGACCAGTTGCCATCCAAGGCTATAGAACCCAGTCTGTCCTGTTATTTACCTATAGCTGAAGGGAGAAGAAGAGGAAGATTAATACCTTTCCCAAGGGTATTAGCACGTGAATGAATGTAATGGACACACACACACACACACACATATATATATAATGTATTGGGGAAGCAGATCACTATTTAAACATATATTTGTAAATAAAACAGACAATGAATGTCTATTATTTTTTATCATAAGCTGTTCCAAACTTCGTATGTTTGCTTTAATTTCGAATGAAAATAAAGACAAAATTTGTCCAACATTTTCATATTTTTTATTAAGCTGTTACTTGATCTAAGCTTTCAGCTCACATGAGCCATCTTCAGAGTGGTTATACGGACATTTCAACAAAGATATTCACCATCAAAGATGATATTCTGTTATGTTGACATAGAATATTGCTATGCGATGATAACGGTCGCGGAATAGCAGACGCGGGTCGTAAATTTATGATGCGGTTCTATGACGTCGTACAACAGAACCATAGATATAGATGCAATGTAATGTGTTGTGACTAGTTTGACGTGTTTGGAACCGCATCATGTTTAAAAAATTGATGGTTTTAATTCTCTAAGGAGTTCTGCTTTTATGTGAAATAGACATGAAGCTGTACAAAATGTGTTTTCCAAAATTTCACGACATAAAAAAATGAAAAAAAAATGTTCTTACGACGATTTTCTAAAATAGAAACATTTCTAAAATAATTTTATTCATTTTTTAATAAGTCCTGAAAGTTTTGGATTTATTCACAATTTATAAATTAATAAAGTCTTGTTAGAATAGAAGAAATTTAATCAGAACATTCACCATGAAAATATTTATAGAAAAAGGATAGGGTAGTTACGTTACGCCGCTAGGAAAGCAGCTGAAGCCGAGATGCAAGGTAGGGACCAATAACATTGCAGATTCTTCTTTGTGTTTTCTCAAGAATCTCTAAATATATCATAGAAACACCAGACCATATATAGTTGCAATATTCAAGGCATGGACGAATGGTAGACTTATAAATATAGAAGATAGATTCTGATGATTAAAATTGTACAGCACGACATAGTGAATCAAATTCCCCTAGCGACAAATCTAGCAATTATAATATTATTATTATATCATTATATTCAATATAATCTTTCGACTTCATGTCAACAGAGAACGTTAACCTGAGAAATATTGCATTTAATTTGTCTGCACAATAAAACATCTAAACAGTTCCGATCAACGTTTTAACATTTATAGATTATGAATTGAATCTTACTCGTTATATTACTCTTATAAATATTAATACATCCTGAAAATCCACCCAACATCAATTGGTTCATATCAGTTTTATTGGGAAAACATTAACTTGCATAATTAAATCCGACACAGTGTAGTAATTCTACGGTTGACCAATTGATTACTTAATAACAATAGAAATCGATTTTCCACTTTATATCCAGTGGAAATATATTAATTACGTAGACTCAGTGAATTTAAGTGCAGTACAAGATTGGTGGAAACATCTCATCATTTTACAGTTGAAATGGCGAGATGTAACCGTAAGTTCTATGCTAACAGTTTCTTTTCTCGCACTTCTCACTTGTTAAAATCGCTTCTTGCTTTCTAGTCAAGGTTGGTCTTCAAAAATTTAAATGTAATGACAATTGCTATCTTCCATCTTCTTAATTCCTGTTTATTTTATTGACAAAAAAAAAATTATTCTTTTTTATATATTCTTTCACACTCGGTAATCCCCCGCATCTTAGTGGCTTTATTGCCTTCCTTGGGGTGAAATGATATATATATATATAACTAAATAAATAAACTCAGTAAATAATAAATTATCAAAAGATATTATCATTATTATTTTCTTCTGGATCCCAACCAGAAACCTAAGAACAGAAATGGCTTCATGACATTTTCCACTGATCAATTTTGTAAAGAAATATATTATTATTATTATTATTTTCATTATTAATTGTCCAAAAAATTTAGTTTCGACCATCTAAACTAATGAATGACCAGAAACAGAAGCTTTATTATTGGATTTTTTTAATCCGATATTTTTATTCCTTCAAACGTTATTATTAGTGGATACTCGTACTTGAAATAAACGCCGCATTTTATTTATTGACCGGCCTGCGATTTGAGGAATCTGAGTAAAGAAAAACGCTTTTCCCAGAACGGACTGAACTATCTGATTCAGTGTGCTTTACCGCTCAGCCATGAAGAACAACGCAGCAAGCAAGATTCTGTTTTCCCTATATAACGAATCACATCCTCTTCATCCAGATTTTCGGAAGCTTCATATCTGCTTCGTATCCGAAACGTAAACAAAGCAATTTCTAAAGAATTAATGGATTTATTTTTAATCCGACATTTTTATTGCTTCAAACAGAATATTATTGAGTGGATAATTTATAGTAGATAAAATGCAGAAAAATATACATCTCCATGGTAAACAGGATGCAGGAGGTTAACAAAGAAGCAAATGACCAGATGATCCTGAATTCAAATCGAAAATAAAAGAGCTTTCGTGGGATAAATTGATTACAAAAAGGCATAGAATACGATCGGCCATAGAAGGATATTCGAAAACAGGAAAAAAAAAAAACTAAAAAGAAAAAAAATAGGAATAGAATATCTTAAAAAGATAGGGAAAATACTTGAAGCCAAACTAAATAGCGAAGCCTGATAAAAGAAATGAACAGTATAGAGAGCCAAATGTACTCGACCATTCCGCGGCTATAGTTCAAGAGATCCCGGATCAACAGACTAAGAACCTTATGACCATTTATAAATTTTTAAATCTCAATAATGATCCATACATATATGGGCTTCCCCAGGGGGCCTTATCCTCAGTCGGTACCTCACCTTTGGGAGGCGGCTGGGTTTATTGCCCGGCGCCTGAGACTCACCCAAAAGGGGAAGTGCCGAAGAATTTTTGCGTGGTATTTACATTAAAGCCACTTTAAACCTTGTGTCACATCCGCTTGCGACGTGGGTGCCATGGTAAATACCTACATATATCGGCTTCCCTAGAGGGCCTTCACCCCAGGCAGTAACTCTACTTCGGGAGGGTTGTTGAGTTCATTACCCGGTGCCTAAGGTATACCCAAAAGAGGAAGTGCCGAGTGGGCTTGGGCAATTTTTTCACGGTATTGCCGTTAAACCCACTCCTACCTTGACCTTGTGTCACACTTGGTAGCGACATGGGCCGTATCATGTTCAATTGGTGTTTCAGCACCATTTATACCAGTACCCGTACGATCACCAAAGTTAAGCAACATCGGGCCTGGTCAATACCTAGATGGGTGACCTCTTAGGAATATCAGGTGCTGTAAGATTGGACGTGCGGGTGGTGTAAATGATAATGGCTCGGAATTGTTAATCGGAGAGACGAATTCCAATTCCTGTTTGGTTCGTTATAGTTATTTACGCGCTTGGGAAAGCTATAAATCCACCTCTTCCTTCCCCAGCTATGGGTTAATTAGTAAAACTTGTATTAATATACCATTGTTATTTAAAAAAAAAATCTTATAATCTAAAATATTTTATGGCTTTAAATAACCTGTAAAGGGTTAATAAACCAATCAATCAACTATATATATATATATATATATATATATATATATATATATATATATATATATATATATATATATATATATATATTGTGTGTTTTTAGGCAGCATTTTTCATTGATGCATGTTTCATTAAATAATATAGACAAGTTTTGTCTAATTGTTTTAAGTAAATTCCTTTCATATCGTCTGATAAGCTTAATAACATTATTATTGAAAAATGAAAGAAAAAGACCATATTGATACATGTTTTTTAATCCTATCTAAGCTTTCGGCTTACATAAGCCATTATCAAAGATGACAATTACATTTCAATATATTAAACAATATACAGACAAAACAATAAAGATAGTGTGTCTTTACGTGAATTTGTCGTTGCTTGGAAATCATTATTGTTTTGTCCGTGTATTGATAATTTTGAAAGCCCAGTGTTATTAAATTGCTTTCCTCTTAACTCTAGAACACTAACCATCAATTAAAGTTACACCACTACTAAGCATGGGTATATTATACCCGATTGTGAAAATATTAAAAAAAAATATTAAATATAAATCTTTATTTGAAATATTTTACATGCAGGCACTTCAAACTTTGTACTTTGAGTTAACATTAATAGGAACTGAAAACATATTATTTAGGTAAGAAAATCAGGTACTGAAAATTTTAATTAAAAATAGGAAAATTTGCGCTGGGTATTATATACTCATGGTTAATGTTCTAGGGTTAAACATTGAAACAACCCTAAAAGCCATTAAGACGAAAGGGTTTACCGAGATCGAAGGGGACTGAGTAACATTATTGAGGAAACGGGACAATAAAAGAACAGGATTCAAGGAGAAATATGACGATGATTGATGTTATATTTAAATTTTTGAAGATCAGAGTTGATATGAAAGCAAGAAACCGGAAGAGAGGTCCACAGGATATAAGTGCGAGAGAAGAAACTATCGGGATAGAACTTACGGTAACATTTATCAAATTTAATAGTGGAATTATGAGACCTAACTACCAATCTAGTACTCAGATTAAGTTCATGAAGTCTAGGTATCGAACAGAAAATCTCACCAGAGCAAATACCACGAAAATATTTATAGAAAAGGCACAGGGAAGCCACGTTATAGCGGTGGGATTGCGACTTTTGAAGCTACTGGGCTAAATTAGGTTAATTTCTTTTTAAAATCATTATTTCCAAGCAAGGCAATAAAGCCAATAAGACGCAAGGGGTTTACTGAATGTGAGAGAATAATAAAAAAAGACTATTAAGGAGAGAAGACAATAAAGGAACATGAATTAAGAAGACAGAAGATAACGATTGGCATTGCATTTACATTTTTTTGACAGAGAAGCAAAAAGCTGGAAGGGAGCCCCACAAGCGAGAAATGCAACAGAAGATACTGTTTGCATATATGTCACAGTTACATCTAGCCATTTCAACTGTAAAATGATGAGACCTTGCCGCCAATCCAGTACTGCGCTTAAATTCATAAAGTCTAGTTAGCATATGGGAAAGTTCATCCGAACAATGTTGCCTTTAATATAACTATAATAGTAATAACTAATAACCAGAAAGTCAATTAAGAATTTAGTAGCGCTTGTCTTTGAAGTATAAACCAATTAGTTATTTGTTAGTTCAGTCTGGCAACCTTGATATTGAGTGAATTTGTTGTCACTTGAATTTCAATGAGAAAGACAAGCGCTACTAAATTTTTAATTGACTTTCTGAATGTGAACACTAATTAATAATAATAATAATAAAAATTTGTTTGGAAAAGGTTCTGATAAACTCATTGAAGGGATCCCTGGAAGCCCACGCCTTAAAGAAATACAAAGCATTGTACTCACAAGTACAGCTCACACATTAAAAAGAGCTTTATCTATTAAAGTGTATGTGATCTTAGGGGAAGGGGTTGCTTTATTTTTACAAAAAAATAATATAAAAGGTCATGAAGCCATTTCTGACTTGAGGTCTCTGGTTGGGACCTGGAAGGAAATATGTATAGAACAGAGATCAAAGGAAATAATAATAATAATAATAATAATAATAATAATAATAAGGACTTGGGGAATGAAAACTGAGATTTTACCAATAGTAATGAGAGCTCTGGGCCTCGTGAGAAAAGGAATGGACAATTTCACTAGCAGTGTCCCAGGTAACATCAACATACAGGTTGCCCAGAAGATCGTCCTATTAGAAATATCCCATATACTAAGAAAAGTGCTATCAGTTAAGTGACAATTCTCCTAAGGACCAAAGTTTGGACCCAGCTCTACAAGGTGCAAAGCAGGAAACAAAACAAACACAAATAATAATAATAATAATAATAATAATAATAATAATAATAATACCAGCCCTCATATTCTGTCACAATCAGCAGCCCATTGCCTCTGGATTTAGTGACTTGATTAGGAGTGAAATGATTAAAATAATAACAATAATAAAGTTTCCTTCAGTGATTTTTGTCATGATTTAACGATTTGCATATTCAGCGGGAGAACTTAATTTTTGAAGCCAGGCAAGCAAATAATAGACGCTTGAAAGTTTATTATATCTCTTTAATTATTCAATCATTGTTCGTTATATGTGAATGCGTCGATATCTTTATAAAGGCGATAGTAGCTTTGATATTCTCTATTGACTCATAATTCCTTATCTTTGATCTTGTAGGCCTTTGATTTTTGTTTTTAATTTTTATGTACATCTATAGAGAAAAAGCACATGATCATACTCATAGAATTTTATCATTAATATATTTTATTCACATGTATGTAAACGTGAATGGATACAATTGTATTTATTATAAAACAGAGCATTTACTTAAATATTTGTACCTATAAAAAAAAAGAAGAACGTATAAACATAAAAATGTCTTAAAATAATTATCGGACTTTGTCCAATTCATAATGTGTGACGTCATTTGTTTACATTTGGATACGCATTAAGCAGATATGAATGTACGTAAGAGAATCATGGAAGATTGTAGTTTAAAAACAGTAAAATCGATCTTGCTAACCGAACGCTCCTGTGTAGCCAAATCGATTAATGCACGCCAAGCTAAATGACGGTTCCGTATATGATACCTGTTCGATTCCTGTCAGAGAACGCATATTTTCTATGACAACTTCTCGTACATCCAGGCCGGTAAATGTTGTTAATACTGTTTATTATAAACAGAACATTTACTTAAATATTTGTATCTATAAAAAAAAGAATTTATAAAGATAAAAATGTCTTAAAATACAATTAATGTCTTATCTTTACTGTTGTGTATTACACCTAATTTACATAAGCCTACCGACCATATAAATATGGGTTGGTACCGAATGACAGGGAAGATAGTAAAGATTAAAAATTGAATCCAGAATGCCCGACTGCGATTTAGTCAACCCATTATGCAGGAACAGTCTTCCCAAGAATATACCAAACTAACTGTAAATATTGTTGTACCTATTCTTTGTTTCAATACATTTTGTTAACGTACATTTTGTTATGTATTATTCCATGCTTATTTAAGTTTCAACAATGGCGACGAGGTATAAAGAACTTTACGTTTCGAAAAAAAAGAATTAATAATTGATAGCCTTCAATAATTGGGACAAGGGAAGAACCCAGGCTGGAAAAAAAAAAATCATTAATTAAAAGTCGAACATCTAATGGAACGGAAAAGTATTCTGAAGTTTGGACAGTTAAAACTAGTTAAAGGACGACTAAGCAAAAGGAACGTACATTAGAAAAATCTGGAAGGTGGCGTAAACAAATAACGGCGAAAAAAAAAAAAAAAATGCTGGCCGACTAAAAAAAAAAAAAAAAATGCTGGCCGACTAAAAAAAAAAAAACATGCATGGAATTAAAAGGATTAAATACCACGTGTCGACTTTTTTTTAAGCTTCAACATTTCAATATTTCTTACCCAATAATAGGCCCAAGAACCACTCAAGGTAGTTGGTTACTGAATGAGGTTACTTTTTAAAAGTAAAAGGAGGTGATAATAAAATGCAGATTATGAGGATATGTATGATAGATAACGGTTGAAACTACTGTTCTTGTGTTGTTATTATTTTATATTGAATGTATCATGGAACTATTGTTCTGTTATATTATTATTATTGTGTGTAGTTTCATCTTGTCGGAGAGTAATTTTAAGTGCCTAATTGTCAAGTCTCTTCCGGGGTCTATGAATTAAAAGGTCACTTGTAGGAGAGTTATCTATGCACATTTGCTACGTTTCATTTACATGGAGATGGTTTTACGGAGGATATGTGCAGCTGCACACAAATTAGTCTTCTGTAGCTATGACATGTTGATGTGTCCGGGAATTTTACCATCCTTCTTTATACTACCCAATGCCTCTATCACAGCAGGTATAATTTATTATTATTATTATTATTTCCTTTGATTTTTGTTGCATACACATTTCCTTCCGGGTTCCAATCAGGGACCTAAGCTCAGAAATGGCTTCATGACATTTTCCAATTATTATTATTATTATTATTATTATTATTATTATTATTATTATTATTATTATTTCCTTTGATTTCTTGATGGCAATATTCGGTTTCGTATATTTTTTTTCATCTTAGCTTGACTTTAGCGTACTTTTTTTCATTTCAATAATAATAATAATAATAATAATTTTTATTATTTCCTTTGATTGCTGTTGTCTAAGCATTTCTTTCCGGGTCAAACCAGGGACCTAAGCTTTTTTCTTTCTGGTTTCATGACATTTTCCAATTATTATTATTATTATTATTATTATTATTAT